AGGAATTAGAAAACATGGGTTTGGAAAGGATTTCGGCTTCAATGGAAATGGGATGCTCTTTTGAACTGCTGAGCCAAAAAGAGGATTCAGGAAGATTTAACTTCAGAGATTTTTTGCCTACCCCCTCTTTATGAGCTACCAGAAGTTTTCAGAATCATTATATAAGTGAAAAGAACTACTTCCATTTTATATGTACTACAAATGTTGCTTTTGGTTTTTCCCTTAACTGTTTATTTTCTCCAGGTGGGTATTCTACACTATTTGGAAGAAACAAACTGATATCTGAACATCAAGATTATTTGAGATTATCCTAAATGTACATGCTGCATGGAGCATATAGGCCTGCCACATGCTGCATATTGGCATCTTGAACCTTTAAATTATATGCTGTAGATGATCCTGAAACTTAGTCATGCTATTGATTGTGAATTCTTTAAATGTTTTTTATTGTTATTTTAATTTAAAAGCAAATGGAAAATGTATATTTTGATGAGCTAGGGTGTTATTTTTGAAAGTCAGCTTAAAGATGAATAAGCAGCAAAACTATATAGCTGCTGAATGCACTGAACCTTTAGAATGTGATCCTTTTTATTTTTTTGTAGATCTTCACAAACTGATTGATTAAAAAAGACATCTTTAGCATTTCATCCCTGAAGGGTGGTCCATGGAGTTTGTTTTCTTTTTTTTTTTTTCTACTAGATTTTTTTTATCGTGGCGCTTTTTAAGGATGGAGAGTGTTTTGTTTTGTTTTTTTAAATGAACACCACAGTGCTTCCGTATAGCAAAAAAGGAAATGATAAAAAAAAAAAAGAGGAAAAAATTACTGAGAGGATACCCCAAATCCTTCATTGCAAAGGGAAGAAAGCTAGTAGTCTTAAAATTTATTTACTCTAGTTTCATTCATCATTGCTGTAATCTCTGCTTCAGGAGAAGAATCTTTGACCTTTCACCTCATGAAATTCTTTAGCTGCTGCCGTATTGATCATTTGTATTTTTATATAAATTTAACAGTAGATTACAGCAGCACTTTGAACTCTATCGGCATGAAAATTAAGGCTGGTTTTCCATCCCACCACAGTGCAAGAAATTGAGTGTAATGAGGTTCTTGCAGGCATAGACTCCTCAACCTTATGGGAAGCACTAGGTTCCTGAAGAAGGAAAGGTCCCTTGAGAGAGCAAAGAAATATGTGTGTGATCTAGATTCACACACACCAGTACCGAGTGCTTTGAGGCACGTACATATACTTCAGTAGGGTAAGTCCTGGTCGTATTGCTGCAGACTGACCATGTTGTGTGGGGCTCTTGCTGAATGAGATTCACTTGCAGTGTAAAAATCAGTGGAAGCTAGGTTGCATTGTATTTTGTTCTGAAAGATAAAAGCATTTTTCTTTAACTGTTACTCATGTTGTCTGAAAAGTTATATTTTTGTAAGAATGTGCTATGTACTGACTAAAACTTCGCTTTCAGTGTTTAAAAGATCCCATTTGAAAGGAGGTAGGAAGGATGTAACCGTTCTGCACATTTCTGTACATTTCCAAGATAGAATAAAAAGTGCACTATTTCCCTAAACACTCTAATCCTGAACCATAATGATTTTTTTTCCTTCAACACCTAGTATCAGCATTTTCTTAGTTTTATTGCAGGGAGTTGGTTTCCTTCCCCCCTGATACTGTTAATGAAAACAAACCAGACTAACTAAAAAAGCACCCCTAAGATCTATATTCTTAAATCATGCACAAAGAAGGATTTTACTGCGTCCCACGTATATAAACTGTTCATGAAATCAGAGTAGCCTATGTAGAACTCCAGAGTGATACTGGAAAACGTGCAAAAAATTACTCTTCATTTGGTGTATAATTATTTTTGTATTGTACGCTTGTGCTGTTAAAATGCTTTCAGTTTGGAGAGCCAATAGAAGTATTCTTCAGTCTTACCATTTTAAATTACTGCAGTTTGCATTAATTCTTTAATATACATGGAGTACAGTTCTTCCATGGCCTACAGCTCGTGCATCCCTAAATACTCCCAAAAGAGCAGACTCCCAAAAGGAGAGAAGAGTGTCTTGCATTTCCCTGAGGGTTTTAGCTCTGTTGTATACATCCCAGAAAATATCTTGGTATTATTGCCTATGATCTAGTAGTGACCCTTCATTTACGATACAGGGCTGCAATCAGTATATTGTATAGCCACAAATGAACACGGATGTCCTATAGACAGCTGCGTGTATCCTTAACTTTGCAAGCATGTATATTCCCCTTGATTCTTAGCGTGATTACTCATGTAGGTGAAATTAAGCACACAGGCATTCACTGGGACGGGGCTTACAGCATATATGTTCCCGAGTGAGCTTGATAGATGTAGAAAGCAGTCACAACAAATGGGGGTGGTTGGTTTTTAGCGAAGAAACTTGTGAACGGGAAGAGGACTTGATACGCTGGCTGGCTTGCTGTACCAAGGCTAGCACTTTGCTTCAGTATCGCTGCACAAGGCTGCCAGAGCACAGAGATGTTGGCTGTGCGGGGATGTCCTGGAATGACCAGGGGACCTGAATCATATAATGAGAGGTGAGAGGCAGCAGTGCTTGCAAATCTTTCTTTTTCAACTGATACAGTATAAAGAGAGTTGGAGTAATTATTTTTTTCTTTAAACTTTTTTTTATGTAGGTTTTTTAAAGTGATAGATGCAGTATAAAGCAATTCAGCAAACACCGAACATTCTATTTTTTTAAGTTGCTGAATTGATTCTGAGCAATTATATACTCACTGTCAGTCTTTATTTATTTGTTGCTGTAGTGTAGACTTTTTTAAAAAGGAAAACAAGTCTCTCTGTGTTAGAATTTTCAAATGCAAACTGCTATAGCTGATCAGTTTTCCATGTTTAAGGCCAGTTGGGAAACAGCTATGATTGCTGCACTATGTATGCAAACAGTTCCCAAGATACAGTTAATGTTAGGATTTTCTTAATTGTTCTTTGCACTAAATGCTGCTGCCACCTAGAAATGTGATTTAAATATTTAAAAACGTGATTGATACTAGTTTGTGCAAAGAGAAGACTGCTGGCATTGTATCTACTGCATCAGTGCAGTGCACATGTTAAAATAAAGGTACGCTATTGTTACTTGTGTGTTTGAATCGTTAAATACGTCATGGATTCAGTGTTAAAATGACAGAATCGATGGCTATGATGCTTACCATTGTACCTCTTTTTTTCTTTTCCTTGTTAGCTAACAAACATACAGGTACTTAATGGTCCTTTTAATTCAGTATCTTTTCTGTCTCTCTCAGATTAATAAATTCAGTTATTGTTCACGTAGTACATGCTCAGATAAGATACTCTGTAGTATGGAACAGCGCGTTGATGTTTGCAGTGGGGAAGATCACTTGAGGCTCCAGTAATCTTTGCCTGGAAAGAGTTAATTTTCTGTAGGGTACTGTAGGTGTGAATTCTTTGGAGATCTGTAAGTGTAAGTTTTTGGTTTTCTGCTGAAGTGGCAAGTTGGCTTTGGGTGGCAGCGTCACTCATTGCGTGGCATAGAGAAAAGATGGGCTTAGGAGAAATACATGAGACATTAAGAATGATGTAAGCTTTGGCACAGAAGTTTAAGGAAGAGGGAGAAGGGCGTGAACAGGATGGGCACGCTGAAGAAGTTACTCTGGGGTGTGATTCGGAAAGATTAATGGTGTCAGACAAGGAAAGAAGAATGTGACTTGTACAAGATTGTAGAGGGATTTACATAAATTCCAGGTAACTGGAAAGGAGAAGTATTTACATCTGTCCTAAGTAGAGTGATAGCGAAGGTCTTGGTAGTTGGGGATAAGGAAGGGGGAAAGCTTATCTTGAGGGGAGGAAAAAAAAGTGTCTCACAGACAGACTCTGAGGGTAGGATAAGGAGTAATTTTAGAGTGCCTACGTGCACGACAGGGAAGGCAGGTATCTCTTGCTTTTTTATTTTCACTGTTTAGAGTTTGAGGTGTTGACAACTTGCTGGAAGGGACGAGGCGAGGGGACAAGTGAGAAGAAGAGTACTCAATTTCTTATTTTAATTTAGGAAGAGGAGACTGTAGATGATGTTGCCTGAGGGTAATAGGAGGAGGCTGACAAACCTTGCCCACAGAGAAAAAAGGAGTAGTTGGAATCATTGAAGGAGATGCTGAAGGGGCAAGTGAGAGAACTAGCAAAGGGAGTAAGTGCAGGAGTGATTAATAATAGCATCGAGCAACACAGAAGTGCCTTTTCGAAGTGTGGGATGCTGTAGGAAGCAAGGAGTCAGAAATGTGGCATGGGAACAGTGGAAGGATGTGAAATGAAGGAGTCCATACAGGGGTCATAGTTTAGTGAACTTGAGCTTCAGAGGTAGAAATGGAGAAAGTAGGAAGGAAGGAAAGAGGGTGAAATGCACTTCATAATTGGAAGCATGGAGACAAGTAATCCCATGCAGTGCGGAAGAAAGGATGCAAGAGCACGAGCAGTTAAGATGGGAAGGAACTGGGGGAACAACCAGAAACAGGACAGCATAGCAGATACAGTGGGGATTTGAGGAGGACATCTGGACACACAAAAAAGGAGTGTCAGTCGCATTGCCTGGCTTGTCCTCTGTAGGTATCAGAGGGAGAAGGGAGAGAGATTGGAAGTGTTTGGGGGTTTGTTTACTGAGTAATGATTGCAAGATGGCTCCTAAGCATTTTAGGAGGGACAGAACTTAACTGCTGCAAATGAAATGGTGACCAAAAGAAAACTATTCAGATTAAGGAGTGTTTAGGGTAGACAGATTGCCCGAGCAAATAAAATACAAACTTCATGAAGCCCAAGGGAAAGGGAACTGGGATTTAACTGTCATGGGTTTCACTGTGAGCATGGAATGGTGAAAGGCAGAAGCACACCAATGGCATCTCTGCTGTCTTCAGCTCGTGGAATTGGGAAAACTGGTCAGAACTGGCAAATGTGTGAAAACAAACAGAACCCCAGCACTGCTGCAGCCATTATAGGGTTTTTCCTCTGACTTCAAAGTGCCACGACAACTTCATTGTATGTTACTCAAGAGGGAAAGAAGTTTCATGACCTCAATGATGAATGCACGACAAATTGTGTGCCGTATTGCCTGTGCAGTGCTATCAGTATGATTTACTTTGAAAGACCCAAAGACAAAAGTATTTTATTGATGGAAACATCTTAGTGTGAGTAGTCTTTCTATATACAAGCAGCGATGGAATTTTAAAACAATAGTTGTAGTAGATGAGAATAGCAAAGGTGAGTATATATGGCTATGTGAAGATTTTCTTTTTGTTCCGGTAGCTGCTGATCTTATCTAATGCCACTTCCCTATTTAATTTTTCTTTAGTTAATTACTAAAACTGATGGGTTTGCTTTTTTAAAATTATTTTCTTCCATGCTTTCTCCAAATGTCCATATCCTGTTCTCAGGCTTCACACTGGGACATCCTGGGAAATGACTTCCTAATGATTGGCGTCTCTTGTAACACTTAGGTGTTTTCAGAGATGTTGTATAACCACTGGTTAGTTAGTTGTTAGTAGAAGGACGACTGAGGTTTTTTTCAGGCAACAAGATTTTGACAGTTCGTTGTTTAAAACCCCAATGAAGACTGACAGAATAACTAAAGGAACATGCATTGACTTCTGTTTTTAAAAAGGATAGCATCCTTTTTGAAATTTCTACCAGTAGTAAAGTTTCTACAACCATTATAAAATTCGTACCGTATATATAACAGTTAAATACGAGGGAAAGGGAGGGTATCTGCTCCCGGTTTCTGGAGTTGGTTTTGAGGCAGCCACATGCCTTAAGAAGTTGTAAGTCGAGCCGCACTTCCAGTCTACTACTTTGGGATCTTGACCTGCTTAGTGAAGCCCTGCGTGCCTTTGCGCCTGGGGGGGCTGGGATCAGAGGCCGCACCTCTGGGTATCTGAAACGAAGAAATGGTTGAGCGTGCCTAAGGCTGCAGCAGGTACTTGGCGGTGCTAGGGAAAGTAAAGGCAGTCTCTCTGCACTCCATGTGCTGACACATGAACAGAGTAAGTTATACCAAATCCATGGAGTATGGGTAGCCTGTAGTAACGTGCAGTAACGTGTTGCCAGCGTGCAGGTGGGCTGCCGCCCAGGAGCTGCACCCAGCAGACACCGTCGCCTCCCGCGGCAGCTGTTGGTTTGCTAGCCTTCAGCTTGGGGCACGCGTACCGAACCACTTGCTCATCCTATCACATACGCTGGCTTCTGCATCAAAACTGTCCAGGCTGTCACTTGCACGTCTAATAGTGCAAAACATCAGATGGTGGTGTCTGGTTCCAGCGCCCCCCTTGATGTTGTATACCGGTTCTGACAAAAATTAGCTTGCACACAGAGGTGCCTTACAGCCAGTGTAGAGCCCAGACTGTGTATGAGACATGGAGGGCTTGCTCCTGAGCCCAGACTGTGTATGAGACATGGAGGGCTTGCTCCTGAGTACAGCCTGAAGCCGTCAGCTGTAGAACGGGAAGTCGCTGCGTGTGTCCGTCCCAACCTGTGTGCACGCAGTTGGGCCCTTCTGTTGCCTTGCATAGCAGGCTTCCTGGGGGAGGGCTGCTTGCACCTGAGTGGTACGGCCAGAGAAGCCTGGGAGCACTGGGTATACTGGGCCAACTCAGATGTGAGATGCAGTGCTCACCCAGAAGCCTCCTTTCTAGGAGCACCAGGTGAATTGCACAGGCACAGGAGACAAAGCTGCAGAACAGGGAGAGGGACAAAAAGGAGACTGGTGGATGTGGGTAGATCACTTCTCACCACAAGGCAAATCTGCAGCCCACAGCCTGTTACGGGTTCCCTGCTGGTAGGTGTTGGGTGAGACTGGACAGTGATCACCTGGATTCTTCTGGAGGACTGTGTGCAAGCTGCAGGAATGTCTTCCTGGAACACCTTCAACTTAGAAAAAAAAAAATGGTGGTACTTAAATGTGAATGACTGGGAATACAATAAACAAGGCAAGAGAGTGCTCGTCAAGGTGAGTAGAGAATAAAACTGAAGAGTCCCAACCATTTTAAGTTGCTGACTGCTTAGCCTGGACATGTGAAAATACCAACAAATTTTGGAAGTTTTATAACCTAATAATGAGATTGGTTGCTCTGAGCTAAATCTAAAGAGTTGAACCGCTGCCAAAGCCTTCCTTGTAGCGCGTATCTTTAGTCTATGGGTCGTGCTAGGACTATTTCAAGGGCTTGCTCACAAGACAGACCTAACTCCTAGGTTTGCTGAGACTAGAAGGGATAATCCCCCTGGTCCTCCATCTCTCGGAACTTCCATTTCTGGATGTGCTGCAAATGCAAATGAATATGCAGAGATGTATGAAAATTTAATTAGCCATAGCTTCTCAAAGATGAAAAATACTTCAGATTTTTCTTTGACTGAATGGAGAATGGACTGCGTCCAGTTCTGGAGCCCTCAGCACAAGAAGGACATGGAACTGTTGGAGCGGGTCCAGAGGAGGGCTACCAAAATGATCTGAGGGCTGGAACACCTCTCCTATGAGGACAGGCTGAGGGAGTTGGGCTTGTTCAGCCTGGAGAAGAGAAGGCTGCGGGGAGACCTGATTGCGGCCTTTCAGTACCTAAAGGGGGCCTATAGGAAAGATGGGGAAAATCTTTTTAGTAGGGCCAGCTGTGACAGGACAAGGGGTAATGGTTTTAAACCAAACCAGGGCAGGTTTAGACTAGATATAAGGAAGAAATTCTTCACAATGAGAGTGGTGAAACACTGGAAGGGGTTGCCCAGAGAGGTGGTGGAGGCCCCATCCCTGGAAGCATTCAAGGCCAGGTTGGACGGGGCTCTGAGCAACCTGATCCAGTTAGCGGTGTCCCTGCTCCTGCAGGGGGGTTGGACTAGGTGACCTCTAGGGGTCCCTTCCAACCCAAAACATTCTATGGTTCTATGAGAGTTTTCGAAAGTCTACTCAACCGTTTCCTTGGCCCCACAGCTTGCATTGAAGGGGTTGCTGCAGAGGCATTTCTTCTGGTAGCTACACTGTGTAAATGGTCCCAGCCATCTTCTCAACACTCCCACCTCTTCTTTCTCACCCTGCGTTAGCTCCTCTCCTGTGAGGGTTGGAGCTCCCCT